AATCGAGAAATTCCCTATATATACTTTGTGAATGAGGCTGAAGTTGAAAGGAGTACAAGTGCGAATATATAGAATACAAAACCTTATATTTTATATGTATTTACGCTATACGTATTTGCATTTGTACCAAACTGAGCCTCATGGGTTGATGGAATGGTGTGGTGAGGGGGGCAGCGAAGAATTAAAAGTTAGAACAACGTTTCACCTACCCCAACCCCAAGGTCCCCACCCAAGAACCAGATGACCAGGACCATCATTGGATGATGGGTCCTTTTGACTTGGGTCAGTATGAGATTTTAGAATTTAGAGTAATACTTGTAATAATGTAAGTAGGGAATTTCGGTGTAAATGATACAATGACGTTCCAAATACTAGACAAAATGGGGTTTTTTCGTCTGAAGTTAGAACTCAGAACATTATGAATACTGCATTACTTGGATCTCATAAATACAACAATGTTTATAAAGCGGACGTCCTAAATCAATTTAGACTCTATTCTCTTTGGTACTTGGTACTTATCATAACAATTGAATCATCTCAATTCCCTAACACACCCCTCAAACTCATGGAGAAAAAAAATCTGCATGTATTTGATAAGCATTTGATCTCCATGTATTTGATAAACATCCTCCAAGTCGGATGTGATAATGATGTAACCTGCTATCTAAAACGATGGCAGGGAAAGTAGTAAATGACTAGTGACATGAGATGATGAGCTGTTGTTTCTTCCAGAGAGAGACTATGGATTGATTTTTGAACTGTCAATAGGCCAACATGGGTCAAATTGAAAATGGGCCAACAAGAGATCTCAATGGGTCAATCATAATGACATCCAAAAAATAGACCAAAATAGTGCCAATAAATAATAAATAAATAAATAAACCTTAATGGATCATCCAACTGCCTTATAGGCTAAACCGAGCATGGGCCACTATAGACCAAAAGTTAAATAAATAAATAAATAAATAAAACCTTAATGGATCAATGAACCTCAATTTAGTGAGATGGTGAATGGATCATATGGGACAGATTAAGAAGATCAACAGTTAAGTAATTATTGAACCAAACGGTTCGAATGGTGGGGGATTTTTATTTTTTAAATGGTTCATAAGATGGGAAGGGGTGGCTGTGACTACCTCTTTAATGGAAATGGTCTTCAACATCTCCACAACGTACTATTTTTTTTTTCTTTCTTCCCATCTAAACATTCGGCCAGGGGCGGAGACAAGTATATTGGTGGTTGTCCTTACCTCCCTGGACCCCCCAAAAACCTTTTGTAAAAGCATTAAAGGGACGGGATGTCCTGCCTATGAGAACTCTTCCCCACGTCTACTCACGTTACATTATCCTCGTGAATTGGGAACATTTCCCCCTGCAGAATACTATGTAGGAGAACAAATATTCTCCATGTGTGACTGTGATCGATGTTATGTGAATAGGAGATCCGGACTCCATTAAAGGAAGGGCAGAGCCAAGTATATTGGTGGTTGTCCTTGCCTCCCTCCCCCCAAAAATCTTTTGTTAAAACCATTATTTGTATGGTAAAAAACATAATAAAGTGCGTCCTCATCCCTCCTCCCTGAAAAGGGCAAATTCCTGATTAGTACCTTGTATTTTGGGCCTAATGCCATTTTGGTCCCCGAACTTTAAAATACGACAGTTCAATATCCAAACTTTCAAAGTGTGTCAATCCAATACCTACCGTTAACCATCTGTTAACTAGCCATTAAGTGGCACTCGAAAAGACACAAATGACCTTCGAGTGTCATCTAATTTTCTTTATCAACCATCCAATYTGTTAATTTTTTATCAACATTTGGATGTTTGAAAAAAAAAATTAGATGACACTCGAAGAGCATTTTGTGTCTTTTTTCAAATGCCACTTAACGACTACTTAACAACTGGTTAATGGTAGGTAATGGATTGACACATCTTGAAAGTCCAGGTATTGAACTGTCGCATTTTAGAGTTTGGTAGGAGTGCAAATGGATCGGATCGAATCGGGGATCCAATCCCCCCGATCCGATCCCATCTGGTCGAATTCGGATAACCCCTGGTTGGATCTTCAAATTGGATCCTATGGTCCAATCATAAATTGGTTCAAATTAGGGTCACCCCTGTCTGGTCCGATGTGTTATATATTTATAAATATATATATATATATATATATAATACATATATATGTTATTTATTTATGAATATATTATTTATATTGTATTTTTATAAACTTGTTATATTTTCTTATAAAAAATATGTATATATATGTTAGGATTCGAATTCATATAGAGTCCTATCAGATCCGACCAGATCGGATCTGACATAAGCAGTGTCAAATCATATTCGAATATACCCTGATTCGAATTTGATCCGATCTATTTGCATCCCTAAAGTTTGGGGACCAAAGTAGCACTAGCCCCAAAGTATAAGATACTAATAGATCCAAACCTTCTCAGGCCATTTTTCTCCATACCCTACCTCTTTTATTCCTTGTATCATTTTTTGTTTAACTTGCCCCCCAAAAGAAAAATCTTGACTCCCCAACTACATTCAACCCCAATTATTTCGAAGCAACACTAATCTCCTTGATTTGGAGCAATCATCTTGGGTATTACGATTGAAATAAACTTCAGATTTAATAGGATACAATCATCAATAAAGAAAAAAAAAGTTTGAATGGGTGGGGCTTATTTGAAAATTTTAATACTTTTAATGGGAAAATCTATGATACGGGAAAGATATGGTATGGGAAGAGTTTTGACCGATCAAAACCCACCCATGAATTTTGATAAATAATACCTGATTGGATGCCATGTTTAAGATACCAGTTGACTGGTAAAAATTTTTTCAGATATCATTTTTTTTCGATATCATAGTTGAACCCCTTTTTTAATTTCTCAATTCTAAAGCTTTGGAGATGGTTGTTGAGAGAACTTGAGAAGCTATAATGAAAAGGAAAGGAGACAAAGGGGTCTCCCCATCGAATCCCTGCTAAAGCCTCTCTCTCTGCATTTCATTGATTATTTATGAAAAGTTGATATTCGACATACATTAACAGTTCGACAAGGGTAGGGATGCAAACRGATTGGATCAGATTCGAATCAGAGTATATTTGAATCCAATTCAACAATGTTCATGCTAGTTTTGACTCAATTCGAAGATCTGATCGGATCTGATAGAACTTGATTTGAATTGATCAAATCAGATTTGATAGGACTCGATTTGGATTCAAATCATATTGGTGAGTCGAATCTTTGGATCCGATTCGATCCGACTTGTTTTCTTTAAAAATTAATAAATTATTAAAAGAAGAATAAAATATACTAATTTAAATAAAGTGAAAACAAAAAAATACAAGTATTTATAATTATTTATGTCATATATATACATGCTTTATAAAAGAAATTAATATAACAAATTTATAAAAATATAATATATATATATATATATATAAATAAATAAATAACATATATATGTATTATATATATTTATTTATAACTATATAATATATATTGGATCGAATCTTCTCGAACTGGAGGGGATGATTCAARTCATTCTATTATTCGATCTAAAGATCCAAATAAGGGTGATCCGAATTATACAAAATAGGATCGGAWTGTATCATAATCCATTTACAGCCCTACGAGGGTGGAAATCCAATTTTTCATGAAGGGCCAAAATAAAATAACATTTCAAAATGTCAAAATTATTTATGCCAATCAACTGGTATGGCGGCATCATAGAAGAAGTGACCAATCCAATGATATTCACCATATGCTTTAATTGGTGAAAACTCTTCCGATACCATAAATTTTCACTTTTATACATGCATTATATGTCATTAAAAATAATTTTAATGACAAATGCCCAAAGCCTATAGTCCCAGGCCCGGCCCATGATAACCTTACAAGGGCCTCAGGTTGAAAGTTCGAAACCACGTATCTTACAAGGGCCTCTTTCTGTTTGCGTGTATGCTTCAATAGAGGTGTCCATAAGAAACCAAAAACTGAAAATTGATCCGAACCAAAAAATTTGGTTAATCGAACCGGTTGGTTCGATTTTAGTTTAGTTTTTTTAAAAAACCAAATGATCGATTTGATTTCTGGTTAACCTATCAAAAAACCAGCGATTAATTAAATCGATAATTTTTTATATATTATATATTTTTATTTTATTTTAATATGTTTCCCCACCCCAGCGGCCCAACCCAGCCCAGCCCCCGGTGCCCCTCTCTCTCGGCCCAAGCCCAACAAAATGAATGTTTTTCATTCATTGGAACCCCAAAACAAACTCCTCTTGAATTATTTCTTCTTGTTTGAACAGCAGAAGCCACTTGCCATAAACCCTAGCAAGTAAGCCGCCCCTTCCTCTCTCGACGCAGTCGCTGTTGCCTCTTCTTTCTTCTCCTCCGTTGCCGTCGTCTGGTCCGCCGGTTATCTATTTCTCTCTGTCGCCATCGCCTCTGGCCTCTTATAGTCTTCTTTCTTCTTCTTAGACAGAACCAAACCATTTCTCCTCTCCAATCGCCGTCATCGGGTTTTCTTTCTCCCCCATTCTTCTCATTCTCCGAACCTGAATCTTTGGGCATTGGTTTTCTTCTCCCTTACTTCAATAGTGGTAGACTTGCAGGTAAATGATTTTTTTAGTTAAAATAATTGATATAAAATTTGTTTAAATTATGAATGTCTAATGATACCTATTTGGCTTGAATAAGGTTTTTTCCTTTGTTATTTTTCTCATTTAAGACAAAAAACATTTTTTAATAAAAATGAAAAAATAAAAAAAATCAAAAACCGAAAACCAGTTAATTGATTTAACCGTTGAACCGATTAACCGCTTGTTTCGATTTGAATTGATACAAAAACCGATGGTACCGGTTCGGTTTGAAAAATATGCCACCGAACCGTGGACACTCCTAGCTTCACGAGCGGGAAAGGAGGGACAAAAGTTCGAACTCACGACCTCCTCCAGCTAATTGTTAGGGTTGGAGATGACGAGATATAAATCATTGCAACGCCCTCTTTTTCTCCTGCCCTGTCTTGGGTTTCTTTCTTGGATTGGTGAATAGCTGCAGAAAGGGTTTTTGCTACACTAACCATGAGGGCTAAGGTAAGAACGAGTCTGTTCGAAGTCTCTCCTTTCTCATTCAACCATTCAATCTCCATATATCTATTTYTCTACTTTATTTTTACTTAGATTATTTTCCATTAATTATCTGCTATTCGTTCGGGATAGCAATCGATCCGGTCGTCATTCATTCCATTGCGCATTTTTATTTACAGTGGAAGAAGAAGCGCATGAGGAGATTGAAGAGGAAACGCCGAAAGATGAGGCAGCGATCCAAGTAGAACTTGAGAACTGCTTGTTGCACTTTCGACCTTCAGGGTCGTTTTTTCTTCTGTTTCATTTTACCCCCTCTCTTTCTTGGTGTTTTCTTTAGGCAGCAAGGATGAACAGTAGATGGTAATCTGTTTCAAGTTTTTTGATGCATTTGGTTGTTTTGATGCTTTTTACGACATTATCAATCGGAATGTGATTTTATTTATGTTTAACTTCAGTTTTCCAGTAATGCATCCTTGATATGATGCCAATGAATGAGTCGCGACTTCTGATTATTCCGTGTTTCACTTGATTAATACCTGTCCTCCTATATTATAACTATAAGCGTAATTCAAGATCTATATGGATTTACTCAGGATTTCCATGCACCGAGTAGAAATTGTCATCGTTCATCTGTTTGGTCTATAGTTCTTCTTCATTTGTGTCTGAAATTACTCATAAATATGTCTTTGATATTTCTTGCGGGGCTGATGAGTGAAAGTGCATACAAAATATTGTGTTTAGCCCATCTTTCTGTTGCTTTATTTGTAGCAGGCACGTATAAGATTATATTGACCATCCAGAGCGTACATTGGGGGACTGTAACAACAAAGTCTTAAGAATCCAATATATGGTTCATTTGAAATTTGGCCTCTGGGCCTACATTTTAAGAAGAAATCTAGATGGTAGATTCGTGATTGATGAGAATTGAGAAAAAGCAAAATTTATTGTGTTTTGGGAGGTCGTGGGGAATCATAACACGATGGGGCTGTAATGCTACTAATGCAATCCATGTTTGTTTGACTTGGTGCCCATCATACATTTCTTTGTATGTAACTATATATTGATGTAGGATACAACCTTGTGGTTTTGTTTTGATACAATTTAGGTTCTGGAGCACTCTGATGTATGCTTAGTCTTTACCTCTGCATTCCACATTTCCACTACAAGTAATCTTGCTTAACTATGGTTATTGAATGTTTAAACATTTCAGCACATATTCCAGGCATGCATCATTACCAGGAATCATGGTTCAAACAGTTAAGCAAATCATGGTTCAGACAATTTTTACATTTGTTTTGCACTTTCCTCTGTTTTTATAGACTGTACCACACCTTCTCTCTATCGGTTCTGACAATTCAGGATAAAACCTATAATTTGAATTAAATATATGCTTGGGTTACTAAACGCATGGGGATTGCTTAATACTTATCTCGAAAAATGGTTGAAAACATGATCATTTTCCCATACTATTATATTTCCCCCTCTCGTTTTCTTGTGCAAAATTTATTTTTAAGTGTAAACAGAATTAATATTATCACAAATTTGAATCAGTTTGGAGACATACCATATTGAAATATACATATGCTGTAGTTGTACAACAGAAATCCCATAGAACTGCCTAGCTTGTTTTCAAAAGTACTTGTACACTGTTCACTATTTTCATTAAATTTGAAATGAATCTTACTCTTCACTTCATCAATGAAAATTAGCCGGTTTGTCTGATGTACTAGAATAACCAAGTTTCCTTTTTATATACTTGTTTTTCTTATTTATTTATTTGTTTTTTTGTGTGGGGATGAGGGTGGGATTTACTAATTACATGTATATACTTGGGACAATCTATGACACGGGAAAGACATGGTATCCGAAGAGTTTTGACCAATCAAAACCTACCCATGAATTTTGATAAATAACACCTGATTGGCTACCTTGTTTATGATACCAGTTGATTTGTCAGAAAATTTTAGGATATCATATATTTATGCCTTTGTTGTAAATTGCTTGGCAACAACATATTCTTATAAAGAGTTGAAAAGTGAATTTCTTTTTCTGAATAGAAAATGTAGTCTGTCCATGGACTGCCCCCTGCAATCACATACAAGTATTCAGTATGTCGGTCCTAAGAATTCGGTTTAAGTTTAAAGGCAACAAGTAATGGATTTGCCAAGTGCATGTTTACACTAGTAAATGGATCCTATGAATTCTTAAGTGCATATGTAAACAAGATGCATTTAGATAGGATGATCTAAAACCTTTATGCATGTTTACAATATACATTAGAAATAAAATGTTTAAATAAGAAAGAATTGATAGAAAGCCCAAATGGCCTATTTGATCTTGAATTTCCACTCTGCAAGCGTTGGTTGTTTGATTGTTTCTGTTCAAATGTTCAATCAAGCGTTTTGTTATCTTATCCTTTTTTGACGTGGCTTGGCTAGAGGTGCCTCTTATTCTATATTGGCTACTTTTAATTTGTTCTGGATTGCCCACATGTGACATGCCTGTTACGTGGTACATTTAGCAGATCAATCTTGTAATTTTATCCGTCCATGTTCTGAAACCATGCCCAATTCTGTTTCTGATATCGCAAAATAATTGTTGTTGAAACGTGGAGGAAGAGAAGATTTCCAAATTTACCTTAATCTTGTCGCCGGGGTCGTCTTGGTCTTGGATTTCATGTGTAGTTGTGTACCGAGTCTACTGACTATTGAAGCGCCTTGTTTTCATTGGTAGTACGCGGTAGCAAGTTAAAGCTTAGTTTGGATTGAACCAGACATCCATTTTGTGACCATAAATGTGGATGTATGCCTTTTAGGCGTGATAATAGACTAATAGTATAATACTAGTAAATATTCCATATCAATCAGGAGAGAAACAACAAATATTTTCCCGTCTCTGTTAATGGCTATGGCTTGTTTTGCTTGTGTTAAATTTCAATGGGAACAGCATAAATAGGTCTAGAAATGCCATATACAAGGGCCCTGAACATATTTGTATTTGTAATGAATATATTTTTACTATTTTTAAAGTTTGGAAAGAGTATAAATACAAATATATAGATTACAAAGCCTTATATTTTGTATTACTTTTTATGTACAGTGCAAATACATTAAAAATAATACAAAATACATGGTTTTGTACTATTTGTCTTTTCTTCCAAACTTAGCCTTAAGTTAAATCGGTTTTGTGTTGTATAGCTTTTGCTTTAAACATGGTAGTTGTTGGAGACCAAAACACTGAATTGATTTGTCATTGCCGGCATTACTTTCACGTTGGCCACGGTGGAAATGGATGAGAGTGAGCAACGATCAAACTTCATTTTAACGAATTCTTTTAGACAACAAGAGAAATCATGATTATGGACACAGGAACGAAATGTCATTCAGTTGATTGATTCCTTGTACCAACCTTTACTTGTGTACCGATTGGTTTGGTCTTACTTCTTCTCCCCCTGTACAATCATCTAATTACTACTAGTAGAAAAGGTACTGAAGCTTCATCCTTCCTCGTCGTGCCTCTGAGCTAATGTTTTAAAATGTGTTTGAGCAATCCATCTGGAGTATTTGTCCAGAAATATGAAATATGCAGTATCTCTATCGTTCCAGTGTACACACTGAAGTGTGAACTACTACAAATCTACAATGCCGCTGAGAACAATTTTGCGTCGCTAACAAGAGTGGGTCGTGCCGTCCGTATCTTGCTGTTTGCGACAACCTTCCTGTCGTAATTCTTCAAATGCATGCCTGGTCTCCACATCGAAACCCCCAGCAAACTGGAAACACTTATTGTTAGTAAAGAAACGGTGAGAGGGGAGGAGTAAAACTGTAATAGATGGAGAAAGAAAGGAGATGGGCATTATCACGAACCTGGTGCACTCGGAAAGCAAATCGAGCAGCCTGGAGCATGAGGTCCTCTCGTGAGGCTTCACTGATTTTCATTTCATTAGTAACCCGTTTCATGTATTCCTTGGCTAGCCGCAGCGAGCAAAGTTTGAGCTTTGAAGTTTGATCAAAGACAATAAAATAAGCATCATATAATCCTTATATAATTTTCCTCACTCTAAAATTTTGATATTTGAAGCACATGTACATCCATTGGGAGGATGGGAGGAAGCTAAATAAGGGGGGGGGGGTGTATTTTCAGGGTCTGGATGGACAAATTTAAAGCATCAATATAAAAKATGACTAAATTGAACAAACGTCGATTTAAAGATTGAATTGGGGCTCTCGTTAGATCCTCGACATGAGCTGCATTACATACATCAGATGCTGCGACGATGGCTTCTCCCCATCCAGCCGCATCATTCTCTTCAGTGTTTAACATATAGCTTATTGGCCAGCACCACCAGCAGGTTGAGATATGTGATTGTATCATGACAAACTTGTAGATGGCAAATTTCCAATCTTGATAAATTATATAGCTACTCTACCTAAGCTAATATAAATCGACCATGAAGCCTACCTGACGAATCATGCCATCGTCTAGCATCCAGTCCCAGGGGATCTGGAACTCCCGATATTTCTTGCTTGTGCTTTCTCTTATCCTCCCAATGTTGTGAACACTTCCTTCCAGTCTGCAATTATAAAACTCATCATGTGAGGTGCATGTCTAATTCATTTTTCATGCTTCTGTTCTGTGTGCCATGGTGGTGATGCAGCTGGTTAATTTTGGGGGATGGTGCGTGGGTGGGGATCGATGTTCAATCAGGATATATCGAGTTATATACTTCAGTTTGATCTATATCATATCCCTACCTGTCTTGCAACGCTTGTATCCTTTTAAGGGTGAGAGTAATGGCCTGTTTATGGCTATTCAGGAAGGATAATACCTCCGATTCGAGGTTCTTCAGGTCTCTGTAGCTGAATGCAGCTTCCCGCATTGCGTCTGCTTTTCGCTCTGGCCACTGGGGGAAATGCTTGAGCACGGCCCTCTCATCAACCAGGTAGGATAGTTCCTCGTCTAGCCATTTAACAAACTCTTCCAAATCAGATATCTTTGTATATACTGCATTCTCCACCTCCCTTGTCAAGAACATGATGAACTCCATTTGTGTTTCCACATCAGATTTTATCTGCCGCCCACATGTATATGTGCTTTACGGTTAGGAGATAATCGACTATTAGAAGTGGATCAATAAACCTAATATTTGGTAATGGAGGAAGATTGATACCCTAGAGAATTATCACTTTATAGCTACAGCACTTACAGCTAAGAGATATGCCGACCGATTCTCTATTTCTCCGATCATTTTCTTAGCATTTACAGCTTCTTGGATCCCTGCTACGTTGCCTCTGTTGTCGGTCCTTGCATCGCTCCTTGTAAGGGAGCGGTAGAATTCCATGACTTCCGGCACTCTCCGCAGTGCGGTGGTTGACCTAGATAACAACTTCGAATTCGATGATGGTGGCGGCGGTGGTGGTGGTGGAGGGGGTGGCGCTTTGTTTCCATGTACTCCGTCTGGTAGAAGTGTAGTAGTACAAGTGGGCCTTGGAGGTGGCTTCGGAACTCTCGGCTGTCTCTCCTTCCTACCAATAGATTCTAGAGAAACTCGCCCTGAACACAGATTTTCCGTTGTTGGGTTCTCACCCAAGTCGATAAGAACTTTTGACTTATGTTGCATTGCATCTGTATTATTGCTGCCGCCATTGACAACAGAGATCTGTAGCTTACTCCAGAGTGCAGATCTAGTACTATCTGAATTTCGTGCTTTAATGGAATTGAGTTGGGTTTTGAGGTGGACCAACTCCTGTTTCAGTTGCTCGTTCTCCTTTTCTAGCGAACGGTTCTTCTCCAGGGAGGATCTGAGTTCTTCCTCAAGGATGGCCAGCCGTGGATCGTCGGCTACTTCTTTTTGCATTCTTCCTTTCCGGTTCTACCTATAATAAAAAATGGATGATAACTGGGATGGGAGGAGCTACAGTTATAATTTGCAACCTCTCTCTGATCAGAGCTTCTCTCTCTCTCTCTCTCTCTCTCTCTCTCTTTCTCCTTTTGGAAAAAAAATTCCAGTTCTAATATACGCGCGGCCTAACTTCTGAAGCAAGGCAGTAGTTGCACGTAAGAGCCATGGTTTGATGTTAAGTTCGTGCCATTGGATGTCTATGATGCTGGTATGGGGTACGTAGGTAGGACTTAGGAGTGTATGATATCTTCTGGGTCTGGGGAAGGCGAGGCGAGAAAGCTTTAATTTTGCTCATCAGACTCAGGCCCATCTTTATCTTTATGTGGCTTTGCAATTGTAGGTGAGACTGATGAGACTTTGAGAGCTTGCCTAGCTAGCATAAAAGCTGCTGCTAGCGTGAGGGAGGCAGCTGTCCCAGTAAAAGCCCAAGTTAGGTACCTCTCTCCTCCATAGGCCGGTCAAAAATTTCTTTAGACGCTTGCTAATTCTGATTCCTTCCCCTTTCTTTTCTTTTCTGCTCTGCTCTCATGTGCACTTTCAAAGTTGGAACTACGTGAATGATAAGGAGAGGACATTTGTACAAGCAATAGCTTGGCTACCTTCTGCCTGCCTGGGGCCCCATCCTCATTTCCATGTGTGTTAACAGTAGCCTAATCAGATTTATGATCATCTACTACTACTACTAGTAGTACCTACCTACCTATATATATATATATATATCCTCGCCCCAAAACCCAAATTTCGGTTTCGGTTTCATTAGAGCCGAAACCAAAATTTAGGACCATCTGAGTTCTGACCATGATGATCATTACAGGTGGCAACTGGCAAGATTATTGTCATTCTGTCGGGATGTTTTATTAGTTTCTATCATTACAGTTCTAAGTTCTAACACGAGCGAGTCGATCGCTTGCTTTGTTGTTACTTGTTACGTATCTAATAAACTCCTTTATCGATCGGGATTCGGGACTCGGTAGAACAAGGCCGAGTTGTTTTATGTTGTTCATTTTCTGTAAATATGGAGGAGCTATGGAGTTTGATTTGGTGGCCTGTTTGCGTCGTATAAACATGGTATCCGTGAGACTGGAGTGCAAGTTAAGCGTACCTGGTGTTCCCGTGTCGGTGCATCCACATCCAGTGCTTTAGTATTTTAAACATGTACACAAATCTAATCTGTGATGTAATTAACTGGGGCTTTAATTCAAAATTCAAATTTAAACATAGCCTCTCTCAAAAAGTGAAAACAGCTAGTCGCGTTATATTGATGATGAGCTCCAAAAGCAAATGACATTTGATTGATTGCAAACTTCCAACTTCCCAGAGGAGCAGATTAAAAGCTTTTTATATTAATTTGGGACTTTGTTTTTTTGTAATTAATCTTATTTTTGCTGGTTTTGAACTTTTGGGTGGACGAGTTAATTGGTAGGTAGAACTGTCAATGGGTCTGGTCTGGGACCTGTTACATTATAATTGGGACACAAAATTTAGAACCAGAACCGAACTAATTATTAATCGAAATAATTGGATTGTCTATAATTATATGATAACTTAGAATTTCATTTTTGATAATATAAAAATTGTAAACTGTTATATGTTTATATGCTGATAAAAATAAGTATTTTTAACCGAAATTATCTTATATACTTATATGAAATATACCCTTTTAGACATAAAACATAATATATTTACAAGAAAAAAATCATGACACCTTCATATGGCAATATATCTATTAACCGGAAATACATGATATTAGAAGAGTTTTAACCGATCAAACCCCATCCATGAATTTTGATAAATACAACTCGATTGGCTATCCGGTATCATAGCCAAACCCCCTTTATATATTATATTAATAATATAATCAGTTTGGGTCTTAATTGGTTTAACAAAGCAAAAACTAGTCCCAACCTAATTATAAACAAGACACAAAATTCAGCCTATCAGACCTGATATAATCAGTTCAGTTTGGTTCGGTTCTATCAGGTAGATCCGGGCATTTGACAACACTATTGGTAGGTCAAATGTAAAAGTTCTAATTGGATGGAACTTGAAAGCATGTGATGCAACTTATTCCTTGAGAAGCGACGCTAGAAGAAAAATAAAGAACTTGGAATATGAGGAACAGTGAAGGATGCTTGGTTGTGATTAGCAAAAGAATGATGCTTGGTGATGGTGGTTATGAATTAAAACCCATATCAATTTGAAAGAAAAAAAAAGGGAAGTTAAAGTGGAGATGTATAAACTGTACTCCTGCTTAATTAAAATGGGGAACCCATTCGAGAAGCAACCAATTAGGGTTAAGTATGAGGATTAAGGATGCTCGGTGTTTGGGTATATATTACTCCTTTACATATCTCTTGGGTACATTTGTCACAGAAGTAACCAATTAGGGTTAAGTATGAAGATTATTAGGGATGTGCTGAGTTCGATCCCACAACTTCCACATTTAGGTGGATATGGTGATATTCTGTGATGGATTTGGTTTATCTTCTGGATTTTCTTCACGCTGAAAATTAGTGTGAAGGGCCAAGGCTTTTCAATTGCCACAACAAATCTTGACAATGAATAAGAAGAGTTTCTCCTATTTTTGAGTCCTTATTTTATGATTCCTTTCAATGACAGGGACCATATATATGACTATGGTTAGGCGTGCAATTTGGACGGGTTAGAGTTGAAATTTTATCAAAATTTGAATGGGCCCAACTTAAAGCTTGAATCAAAAGCAATGTAAAATGTTAACTTGGGCGAATCCGAATTGCACCCCTAACTTTAGTGTTGAATGGGAGATGGATATCTCCTCCCAATAAAACATATTCAGACTTTCAGTCTCCTATCAAACTTTTATCACCTTCACCAAAGCAAAGGCATGTATCGGCTTTATAATAGTATAGGTATTACATAGTATGATGTAGTTTTAGGTAGATTTCACAAAAAAAAAAAAGGATTTGTAAATAGAAATGATCAGAGCGGGGTGGAGAAAATTCAGAGATGGGACTGGGATTGAGATTTCTAATCCCATTAGAGTATGGAGTAGGGCATTTGAATTCAGGATCAAGGACTTAATTGAAACATGCAAAACCTGACCCTTCTCTGCGCCATTGCCATACCTAAAATTGTAACAAACAAGCACAGAGCAATCGTCTAACAACCGGTGTTAATTGTCTGAATTGGGATCTCCTTCCAACAAAATTTGTTCCAATACAATTCCAACATAATCTGTATCCACACAAATAGAATGCACTATAAAATTGAGATCCCCCATGCATGAGATGTGTAGACACTTAACAAATGAAACATTTTTCTGATGGAGGAGATCTGGATCCGACTCTAATTGTTCAACGTTTCAACCACTACATAGGCTATTGGGAACGTTTTATTAACATTTCCACACCCAAAGGTTTCGCATTCACATGTTGGGTTATTTCGTAAATTGAGGCTCATTTGACCTTCGGTTAATAAACCAATTTGTTTTGGCTGTCAAAAACAACATTAATTAATTTTTTTTCGGGTCCCATTATGATCTGAAAAACTTCTGACCAATCAATTAGAATAATAAAAGTGATAGCAAATCAGATGTTATTTATTAAAATTCATGAATGAACTCTTCTTATATCATATTTTTTCTGCATTATAGATTTTCTCATTTTTTATTTATTTAAACAAATATTATTAAAAATATTAAAAGCGTTAAAAATTGAAATCGGTTGGCCAAGAGCTATGATGGCATTTTTAGGCATTAGATAGATCATAGATGTAAAGCTTGGACCAACCCGTGGATTGACCCAAAATCCTAGAAGTGGGCCATTACTTATTGAGAATTTGTTTTTACAAAAAATAAAAAAAAAGCTTGAGAGTTGTTCTTTACCAAAAAAAAAAATCCATAATAACTTGAAAACTTCTTCCAACTATCTGTGTTTTCTAAATTTTCTCTATTTACCTAGCTTTTATTTTCCTTTTAAAAAATGCAGTTTTTTATTATTTGATGAAAGGCTTGAAAATGATAAAATCTACATCTTTCTTGCTCAAAGAAGAATCTTAAAATTTTTAAATTAAAAATGGCAAAGAGCGATCTGAACTTGGGAATCTTAACTTTTTACCACCTTTAACCAAAGGTAATAAAAAAAGATAAAAAAACTAAATAAAACATTTTGAAACTTAGCATTTACTTTTGATCAAATTGTTACAAATTTAAAAGTCCATTATTCTAGTTGGTATTTGGTGTAAAGAGCATTTACTTTTCAATATTTAATATATTCTCTATTTCTTTTCTAAGAAGGGAAGAGATGTACCAAATAACAATACCAAATGACCAAATCAATGAATATTTCGGATTGATTACCATGACAATCGAAACCGACCAAAAGAGAGATTAAACCGACTTATAATAAAACTATCGGATGGTCAGTTTGTTCGGTTTCAATCGCGCCGAGACATCTTGTCTTTTATTGGATTTGCACCCAAAGCCCAAGAAACTTTCTCTCTTCTTGGTCATACCTAAATTTATATTGAAAAATTCACAGTTTATATCAGTCATTGCGAATACAATTCGAAGAAAAAATATACTTTTTAGGCAGGGTTAGAGGTAGGGAAGCCATGCCCCCCTCCCTATGGTTAAAAAATCTTCACTTATAATATATTATTTTATATAAATTTCGGAAGAATACAGACAGGTCTAATGTAGATTTCTGAATTTTACTGCAGACCTATAAGCATTCAAAATGTCAAATATTTCCACTTTATGCATCATTGTCCACCTATGAATCAGCATCAATTTTGAGCTGTCACCTACCCTAACTGTACTTTGGGCCTAAAAATTCTGATCCTGAGTTGAATCTGTCATTCTCTCTTCCCCCATTCCCCACCCCAATGACCATCCATATTTATCTCCCTCCCCTCTCCCTCTCCCAATCCACCTTAGGTTTTGGCCCTCCTTATGAAAACTTCTTAGCTCTGCCCCTGTTTTTAGGTACAACTGTACGAGAAAAATTACTTAAGTTATTGTTCAAACACATTAATGGAAGAAAAACTAATAAAAGAATATATATTAATTAATAGACTCAACTTATTGGGTTATTATCATCTTACATACTTGGACTTTGTACCATGCCTTAAGGCTAGGGCCTAAGTTTCACACACTCTCAAGAATAAGAAAGAAATCTTACTTAGTATATATTTGATTCTGTGGATGTTTATTGAAAAAATGCCACTACATTCGTGCCACATAGGCGTTAGTGTTTATTGCATATAAAACTATTGTTTGGTTTCATTGTTTATCAAATAAACACTAAAAAACTGAAACA